ATTTTTATTAATATTAATTAATATTTTTATATTTCTAATATGAATTGTTTGATCTGGTAATTTATGTTCTGTGGGTCTAAACAAGACGAAACATATGCTTGTGTCTACTGCAGTACCTGTAGTTTAAATTTGTCTAACCTAAGCCATTACATTGATAGAAAGAAAAGGAATCCACCAAAAACAAGAGTTATGGCTACTATCAATAATAATATAATAATTATGTTGCCAGTACTAGTAGAATGTCAAGTGTTGAGTTATTTTCTTCAGGTAATGAATATACGTATGCATAATTTAAAATGTATAGTTAATTATTATAAGCTTAATGTGTTTTTGCAGTTAATGAACATATTCACTAGTGAAGCAGATAATGAAGATATGTGTGCTGCTGAAGAGCTTTGCTTAATTTAAAAAACATTTTTGTAAAGCAGAAAATTGGGATCGATTGTTCAACACACGTAAAGAGTGGTATTTAGTTGAACCGTTTTCTAACAGAATTGTTAGTGCTAAAGAACTATCTACTTTAACAGGATTGCAATCCTTCCAGTTATTTGTAACCATTGTGAAATTATTGGCAGAGTTGTTTCTAAAGAATAAAAATAGAAAACAGTTATGTTTGTGAAGGATCAAGATATATTTAATTTTATGAAGTTGAAAACTGGTATGCGAGATATATCTTATCTATGTTATTGGTTAATGAAACTTTTTGTCGTTTAATTTTTGAGGAATATTTAATAAAACTGGCAAAAGTTCTTCAGCATGGTATAATATTTGGCATTCAAAAAGTAAGAGTACTGCTTTGTACCTTAATCCCACTACAGCAAGCCAAATGTCTGTAGGCTAAAACGTTACTCAAAGTACAAAATGAGGCATATTAAAATAATGACTGGAGTGTCATCTGATTGTCTTATTACTTACATAAGTAAAGCGGGTCCCGGAATTTTGTTCGAAAGTTATTTAGTCTGAAAAAATTTTGTTCAAAAGTTATTTAGTTGGAATATCTAATTTGAAAAAATATCCTTCCTAGACAAATATAGTGAATTTCGAACATGGCTTTGTAAAGCCGAAAGTGCTCGTTTATTTTTAACAATTATTTATACACACTATGATATGTGCCTATTCTTTTTAGCTGCATAAGTCAAATTTATAGGAAAATAGAGCTTGTTTATTGAACTAAAAATAATTGAAAAAAGCTGAATATTATTTTTTATTGAAATTTAATTTTTGTCAAAGTTGGATTAAAAAAAGCTTTAATAGTTCCAGGCCGCACAGGTTAAGTAAATTAGTTTTGTAATTTTGTGTAAAAAATTATTGCGAAGCTACTCGTGATGGCTCCAGGCCGTGCAGGTTAGGTAAATTAGTTAAATTTTTATTTTATGTAAAGAATATTTGTGAAGTTACTCGCAATATCTCCAAGCAGTGCCAGTTAGGTAAATTGGTTGTTCCGTTTTCTCATTTTATGTAAAAAAAATTTCAAGCTACCCGCAATGGCTCCAGGCCGTGCAGGTCAGGTAAATTAGTTAGGTTTTTTATTACTTTAATCAGAATACTAGGAAAATATTTTTATTTTCATTAATATATTTTATATTTAGATTCAACCATTTGAGATCAAGAAATGTTTTAAATCATGTTTTTCATAAAAAAATTTCAATCAAAAGTCCGCATTGCATTTTTTGAAACAATTAAATATTTGAACAAAATGATTAGGATTAAAAAAAAATCGAAGAAAATTACTTTTAAGTGAAATGTTTTAGAGGTAATTTACTTTCGAACAAAATGAGTTCTAACTAAATAACTTTCGAACACAGATAAAGAAATTGTTAAAGTTCAAAACTTGAACTGTTTGAATCATTTCTCGATAGTACAGTCAAGTACAGTGGTTGACAAAGGTTTTCTTATTGGAAAAATAACAGAAGCTGAAGGTAATTTATACAGTCTCCTTATCTCAAGAAAAAAAAAATAAATTTAGCCATCAAGAGGTTTAACTAAATACCAAAATTGCTAGAGCTAGATTTCATATAGAAAGAACCAGTCAAAGAATAAAATTTTTTGAAATTTTATGTAAAACTTTTCCAGTTTCATTATTACATCAAATTGACAATATAATGACAATTATTTGTGCTATCGTTAATTTATTGAGTCCAATTTTTAGTGATGAGAAATTCTAGAGTTTTTTTTAGAAAAGATATGTGCAATTAAAAAACCTTATATTTGTAAATATTTTGATTGTTTTATTTTTTAGACCTATTACAAAAAATTGTTTCTTGAAAGTTCATTTAATTATGTATTTATATTTTGTACTAAAAAAAATAGGTAATAAAAATACATTTATATTTTAATTGTTCTTTATTTCACAAATTTGGGGTAACAGATGGTCAAAATACTTATTTTGTAACTTTGTTATAACATGCTTAAGGTAAACTCATTATCCAATTTAACAGTTATAATTAAGATTTTTAAATTTGCTGGAATATAGTGTAAAATCACATTCCTGCAAATTCAAAACGGCCATGCCTAGTGGTATTTTTTCTTTAAAATAACTTCATTCTTCTCATTTATAGTTAAATATGTACATGATTTGTTAAATTCTGCCGCAAAGGTTTCTCTTTCCTAAAAAGTACGATTTTAAAGTGTATTTAAGTACCTATTTGATAATGCAACAAAAAACAAATAATTCTTTTAACATATGTATATGTCTATATACCTAAGTAAAATTAAGTAAAACATTTTTAAAAAGTAATGCATGTTAATTCTTGATATTTTTATAAAAATAATGTACAAAACAATAAACCTATAAATGGACATTTGATTTCTAATAATTTTATGGGTACACCTTTATTGTTTATTTTTGAAATCAACCCTGTCTCTTCCATAATAATACTATTAGTTGCATTTACGAGTATGTATGCATATCGAGCCTCACCTTCATTCTCAATTCCATGTAGAACAAATCTATAAAAATATCAATTTAAGACAGTATAAAAAAATATTTTTTCAGTGTTCAAAAAATATATAAACCATTTTTTTAAATGTCTATGTATTCAAATAAAGGACTTACTTTGGTTACCTGTTTACAATATTTTTTGGAGTGTATTTACTGTAGGTATAAAGATCATAACAATGAGAACCTGTTATTCTATATTTTCTTTCAAATTGCCAGATCAACTCATCTTTCCTTGTTAATTATGCAAGCATGCAGTTATTTTCTGGGATTAACATGTCTAAACCTTCTTACAACATTCTTTTTTTATTTGTTTCTGATTTAAATTTATAAGGAATGTTTTACACGTATGTTCATAAATTTTGATCATCTGTTCGGAAACTTCATTAACAGATACACTGGCTGTTTGATGATTGTCTTTGTCTAGTCCTGAAATTTAAAAATATGTAATTACTTAATGTTATGACTAATGAAATAGTTTGATATAAACACATAATTAATAAACTCGCACTACTTATAGATTGCAGCTTACTTATGTTTTGCTAATGCAGAATTAGGAGCTGCAAACCAGAGTTCTTTAAGGATATAATCCTTTTTGTCAGACATATTTAATCTGTCGGTGTAAATAGAGTGGTATTTAAGGTATGCTAGCTCTTTATATGGCTATCGTAGTCCTTCTATTAAACAGTAATAATCAAGAAAAATTTAAGCCAAATGTGTACATCAAAATTATATAGGAAAATTTTGGGTTTTATTAAAGTTTGCAAAAAAATGGAAAACTCTTTTAATATGCACAAAATTGATTCAGAAAAATTACATCTATTTTTTATATATTCTATTTAAGTATGTAAGTGTTCTATTTTATTTGATTTAAGTCGTCAAATCTTAAAAACATGTCGGCTCATTCAATATTAAGAAATTTAAAATAAAACTTAAAAAACAAAATATTCAACTTGTTAGTATAGTTTGTGGTTGAAATAAATTTATATAATATAAAAATCTTCACGTTTTACAATTGTCTCTAAGGAACATCAAAGCAGCTGCAAGAAAACAGCTAGCAGGAAAAAGAACTATATACTATAATATCTGAAGGGATAAAGATATGCAATAAACTACCTGCATACTTTCTATCTAAGCATGGTTGCATGTAAAAGACGACTCAGAAAATTTATATTTGATATTTCTTCGAAGGAAGAAAATGTAAATCAGTGTTTGTCTCTCTGTATTGTTACTTATGCCCATTTTTGTTCTATTTATATTGTTTTTATATTATGACACTTGTGTAATACTTCTCTGTAATTAACTAACTTTTAAAATCAACTTGTCAAGCCAAGATAGCTCTATATTGGGCTTTTGAATATATTTATATTTATGTAATTGTATTTACAATAAAGAATTTATGATTATAATTTATAAAATTATTATAAACGTATTTACCTCCTACCTACTCATAGATTATTACCTACTTGTATTGATACTTACGTGAAAAATGAAATGTTACTTTTTATATTTCTGTAAGCTGGTCTTACAACCCTTTATAGAGCAATTCACCATTTAAATTCAAAAAAACAAGTTTTTATATCCAAATAATAAAAAAAACTTAAAACAGAACGTAAGTATAATTAAAACTTGATATTGATAAAATAAAATTTAACAAAATGTTCGACTGAGCAATGACATTGACAACAAAATCTCAACTAGACAAACTTTCTTCTAAACCGGTTCTTTAAAAGGTTTGTTTACCAGTGAGCATTCACAATTGAGACAAAACACAAACACTGCATGTACTAGACAAAGAGAAAACATCTCCCAGTTCGACCCGATTTTCATCGTGTTATTTACGTATGGATAAGCAGTCTATATAAGCTATATATGTCATTGACTGGCACCTATTGTTTGACAGGTCGTAGGAATGCCTAATTTAAATAAAAAACATTTTTAAATAAAATGTTAAAGAATCTAATCGCACACATATAATAATGGCACTTCATGTTATCACAATTGCCCAATTTAACAGATACCCAAACTTGCTCCTTCCTTGCTCAGATTTATATTATCTTACCGTTTTGCAACCAGCTAATTTGCGAAATGGGATATCCATTAACAATACACTGAAAGTTAGCGGCCTTTCCTACATCAACAACTTGAACTTGTGGTTGGACATGAGCCGAGAGTTGAGCTGTAACTTCCAAAGTTACTCTAACGCTTTCTTCTCCTGCTGAATTATTTGCGAAACAAATATAAACACCGCGATCTTCCAGTCTAACCTGAAAGGAAAATAAAAAATATCAACATTTTATTACAACTTTATTACATTTAAATAATAACAAATTCTTTATAAATATTACTTTAAACTTCGAAAATCGTACTTGTGCGGTATGGGAGCAATTGTTTTAAAATAAGTAGATAATTATGTTGATAGATACAATAGAGCTTTCTTTGTTTTTGTATAAAAAAACTAATTAACGGAATACAATCTTGGTAATTTTTGTTCAATCCAAACTTTATTCTCAATGTTTCTAAAGTAGGTCATGACTGGATACGAGTCTTGTCCGTGATAATTACGAAAGTATTTGAATTAAATGCAAACTATCCTTTAAAAAAGAAAAATAATTATATACTTTAAAAACATTTTTTTTGTGATTCACTCCATATTTAAACATTTTAGAAATCATGCTTCTACGTGCTTTCATTTAATACCCCACTAACTCAAGCAATGAAGCGCTCAGGACAGGAGTTAAATGTGTATTAGAATAAAACTAGAAATTGGTATGTTCGTCCAATTTGATGTCCTGATGATCATTTTCATTTGTTCCCGGAATATTTGGCTTGCATTTTTTAGGTTTTAAAAATAAAATTTTTAGAGAACGAAGCGCAAGCGGCTAGTTTGAAATGAACAATTCTTGTTTAGTTTTTTTCTAAAAAATATTTGTCACAAAAAAAACCCGCGAGAGTACTACATAGAATTCAATTACAACAAGAACACTGCTACGTCACAATCATTATTTCTAATTTAAAATACAGGGTGATTTTAAATTGAGTGCCGATACTTAAAGGTGTGAATCCTTCGGTGATTTTAAAAAGAAGAGTCAATATATGTCGTAAACCTAATTTTTAAGCTAAAGGATTTAAGTTTAAATTTTTTATTTTTTATCCTAATAGATGATTTCAACGGAATACATCTTGAAGTTGCAAGGTCATTGGAAAAACTTTGCGCCATCTATAAGTTTACATAACAACTAATAAAATAAAAAAGAAAACTGTAAATTATTATTTTGGTAATCTGTTTAAGGTTACGGCGTCGGTATTCATTTTGTTTCTTTTTTCTTTGTCTTTTTCATTAGTTGTATGTGCTCAGTTTTTCACCATCTCTATTTCCTTAGTGCCAGGTCACAGAGTCTTCTTTTTCTTAGTTCATGTGTCATGTCAAAATTTGTAAAAACAAAACAAATTAAGGTTACAAACTCTGGTTTTGTTTTTGAATTCTTTTTAAAATTACGACTCAAAAATTTATTATCTGATGGTTGTATTTTCAGCTTAAGACCATGCAGAACTTTTTATAAGGAATACCTTTTTTCTATAAAACTAACAACAAAAAACGTTTCCCAAATATGGTGCACCAACTTAAATTTGACACATTGTATAAAACTTTTCTTTCAAATACCCTAACACCTAATAAGGTAAGTCCATGCCAACCGATGCTTTTCTATACAGATCTATACCTATGTAGATTATTTCATATATTTTGGTTATTTACAGTTTTCTTTTTTATTTTATTAGTTGTTATGTAAATTTATAGATGGCACAAAGATCTTCCAATGACCTTGCAACTTCAAGATGTCTTCCGTTAAAATAATCTATTTTCTTATAACTCCAGATATTTTTATGAAATTTGAAATACACCTTCTAATCATTAAGAAGCAATTTTTGATGTAAAATATTTTTGTTAAATTTTTACCAATGACATTCGTACGGGATTTGAACTTGTACGCTAGTATGCCACTGCTTTTTCTAAAAAGCAAAAATTATTTTTAAAATTCTCATTTATTTTAGAGCAAATTTAGTATATAGACTACTTTTGTATGATGCACTATTGTCGCATAAAAAATAAAAACCATTTGTGGATGGTCAAATTTTTTCCTTAAATTCATTGAGGCATTTGATATTTTGTTGAAATTTGGTAGGCACCCACCATGCTCGGAAACTTTTTTTGGGACAAAAATTAATTATTTCTACACCCACATGGATATTAGCATATCTACCCATAGACTACAAAATGAAAAAGTATGCTATTGCGTTTAACTGAACGAATATAGTTTATATCCATTCTAAGTAGTCAGAACATTTCAAATAAATGAAATACACCAATCAGAGTTCATATTTTGGTAACCCAACACCCAACTACTATTATTTTTAAAACTTTAAATAAGTTACAATTCTGTCAAACTAATTGTCAGTATATTTTTAAGTTATTGAGATTAAATATATATTAAAATGAGTTATTTTTGTGTAGAATCGATAAATAGCATGTATTTTTTTGTTTATTCCACATTTTAAAATAAATTTAAAATTTTAATCAAACTAATTTAATTAGAAGTGCCTACTTACATATTAAAATAAAAATCGTAAATCTGGCGTCTGTCTTACACGCAAGAGACCCGAGTTCAAATATCGGCTGGACTGTAGGTGGTCAGCGAAAATATTAGCTTTCTGTTGATTGTGTCTTGTCCATTTAAATAAAGAAGATAGAATAGTTCAGAAATGTCTGGAAATGTCATTCTTTGTCAAAGAAAAATCCGGATTGTTCGAGAATGTTCTAGAAGGGAAGGCAAGCTGTATAAGTCGACGACCTGACGTCAGAGTTCAGTTTTATGACAGACGTTATGCTTTATTGTTATCAGTTGGATAGTTATTGTTAAAGTTCAATAGAGTTATTGTAAAAGTTAAATTGAAATAAATTAGGATACCAAAAACCTGCGTAACAATATATTTACGTTTTGTATTTTATTTATTAGAGGTCCCCACTAATTTTAAATGGGTAGTCTAAAAAAAGGTTCATCTTCCAAAAATAAACTCATATTGGAAGTGATGACGGATTTTCAAAACGTGGTTCTTTAATATTTCAATCTAAAAAAACCGAAGGCTACCATAAAGATATGAACGCTGATGTTTTTGAAGAATATTTTCAGCAAATGATAAAACATTTACCAAAGGGTTCAGTTATAGTAATGAATAACGTTAGTTACGATTCCCGCCTATTTGAATGTGTGCCAAATACTTCATAGAAGAAAGATGATATCATTAAATGGCTAACAGACAGAAACATTAACTTTCGAGAAAAATCAATAAAAATAGAACTACTAGAAATTGTGAAATTAAATAGGACTCGAGTACGTTATGTAGTGGATAAACTTGCAAAAACACATGGTATTGATGTTGTACGTCTCCCTATCACTGCAAAACTAAATTCTATTGAACTGATATGGGCACAAGTAAAAGGATATGTAGGTCGACATAATACGACATTTAAGTTAAAAGATGTAGAAGCATTGTTAGGAACCTCCATATCACTTGTTACGAAGGAAAAGGGGCAAAAGGCAATCAAGCATGTGTTAAAAGAAGAAAACATGTGAGATTTGGACAAAATCTTGGATGTCGATATTACAGTGCCACCTTTAATAATATCAGTAAATAATGACTCATCAAGTGAATATAGTGATTCAGAGACTTTCACATTTCCTGATTTTAGAGAGTAGGTAAGCATATCTATTTTATATCTAAATGTTATAATCATAGCACCCCGGCGTTTAAATTACAATTATTCAAGCTTAAAATAAAAACAAAAAAATATTACAAACAAATACCCCTTAATTTACCCAACCGTGCGCTCATCAGAGTCTTAAAAAGGATTAAAATAAGGGTAGCCTATTGTTTATGTTCCACAAAACTGGGCGACACAGGTAAAACTCTTAATGAAACCAAACCTTTAAACTGCCGGCTCTTTAAAATCGCAGATTTTGTTTGAGCCATCTGTGCTGTAAAAGACCCATAAAATTTTGATTTATTACTCCGTGTCGATTGCGATTCTACTATAGTTTATTTTAAAAGACACACCCTAATTCTGTACCATAGGTAAGCTATAAAAAAAATAAAAAATATTAAATATAAACTGATGTAAAAAAATTCTTGTAGGATTCTTATAACGTTAACTTTTATATAAAACAATGTTTAATTAAAAGAAGAAAAAAATTGCTTAATAAAAAACTACTGATTAGTGCCAAAAGTTATAACCAAACACACACGATTTTTATTTGATCTACAGGCACCTAAAAACCCAAGACCTACAAAAAAACAATATTAATTGAAGCAAATCCTCGAATAATCACACAATATGTATGCACAGAGTATTATTTTAATAATGAATTAAATTTGATGTATTAAAGTCCTGAATAACTAAAAGAATGTGAATTTATATCAAATTATAACAATATCACATTGTGATAAGAAGCGAGAAATTTAGTGTATAGACAAGCCCTCTTCAAATATCGCATCAAACTCTTGAGGAAAAATTTCCTAAAAACAAACATTTATTCTCTCTCGGCTTCGTATTATTAGGTTTTGTCACTTTACATTACACTTCCAATGTATATCTATGTGAAAGGGAAGCTAACACACACCTGTTAAATCGAAATAACCCGAGGCGAGTAATTCTAAGTGATTTATATACCTCCGATATTCCAAGCAACTCAGGCATCGAAATAGTCTTGTTGCGTGCAGCAGGTGGTTCTTGCTTCCACTTTGTTACTTCGGAATTTAGCAGGAAGAGACTTACTATACCTCGGGAGTTACTGCCGAAGTGTCGAGCTGTTTGTGTCAAATAAAATCCGGTGTTTTGTCACACATACATTAAATTGAAAAATAGATGGGTCATAGTTTTAGTTCTGGATATGTAACATATATTTTGATCTATAATGAAATTAACGAGATAGTTAAGGCTGGTGGAGTTTTAATAAATTGCATATGTCGGGTTCCAATGGAATATACAATTAACGTTTTTATTATTTCAATTTGAAACTTTATCACTCATAAAGTACTTACACAAAATTTTTCCGTTCAGATATCATCGGTAGTCGATGAAATAATTATTTATTGTTTCGGCCTTTACTTGATGAAAATCCATTTAATTTTGAAAGAGTAAAACCAAATTTGGTAGATTTTCACACTTTTATTTTAAAAATAAAAATTTTTAAACAAACACTAACATGAC